CCCCGCAAACCAAGGTACATGCCCTTGACCGGGAATCCAAACCTGGGACCCTTTTCTGCAAGCTGACTCTCTATCCGCTGAGCCAAACTGACCAGGGCTTCTTGTATGTGCCCTGACCAGGGATCAAACCCACAACCTTGGCATAGTGGGACAATGCTCTAACCAACAGCTACCTGGCCAAGGCTTTACTAATATTTTTTTTTTACTAATACTTTTCATCTAACATGAACTTTTCCTCTTTTTTTTTTTTAAATCCTCACCCTAGGATATTTTTCTATTGGCTTCTAGAGAGAGTGGAAGAGAGAGGGAAAGACATAGAGAAATATTGATGTGAGAGAAACACATCAATTGGTTGCCTCCTGCAGGTGCCCCAACCAGGGCCTGGGCTGGGGAGGAGCCTGCAACCGAGGTACATGCCCAGAACCCTTTGGTCCACAGGCCGATGCTCTATCCACTGAGCAAAACCGGCTAGGGCTGAGCTTTTCCTCTTTCTAAAAATTCTTCAAAAGCATTACTGAATGGAGGCATAACAGATACATTATAATGTAATTATTGACTAAATTATTTTCAATTTTTGTCCTATTATAGGTAATGATTCAATGGAATTTTTATTTTATTTTTAAATATATTTTTATTGATTTCAGAGAGGAAGGGAGAGGGAGAGAGAGACAGAAACATTAACGATGAGACAGAATCATTGATCAGCTGCCTCCAGAAATCGAAATGTGGCCTCCTGGTTCATAGGTCAACTTTCTACCCTTGAGCCACGCCAGCCAGGTGCAATGGAATCTTTTTAAAAATGTTGTTGTTGGTTTTAGAGAGAGGAAGGGCGAGGGAAAGAGGGATAGAAACATCCATGATGAGAGAGAATCATTGATCGGCTGCCTCCTGAAGGCCCCCCACGTGGGATTGAGCCTGCAATCCGGGCATGTCCCTGACCTGGAATAGAGCCAGTGCCCTCCTGGTACACGGGACAACACTCAAGCAACTAAGTCATACTGGCCAGGCTGGAATTCTTTTTTTTTTTTTTTAATATATTTTATTAATTTTTTACAGAGAGGAAGGGAGAGGGATAGGGAGTTAGAAACATCAATGAGAGAGAAACATCGATCAGCTGCCTCCTGCACACTCCCCACTGGGGATGTGCCCGAAACCAAGGTACATGCCCTTGACTGGAATCGAACCTGGGACCCTTGAGTCTGCAGGCCGACGCTCTATCCACTGAGCCAAACTGGTCAGGGCTGGAATTCTTGTGTATAAATCTTTGCATGAATGATTTTTTCTTTAAGATAGATTCCAAGAGGTGGACTTACTGAGTTAAATACTTATGATTTATTGTATAAAGCTCTCATTCTACAGTGCAAAATTGCATTGCAGAAGCCCTAGCCGGTTTGGCCCAATAGATAGAGCGTTGGCCCTCGGATTGAAGGGTCCCAAGGTTTGATTCTGGTCAACGGCATGTACCTCAGTTGCAGGCTTGATCCCTGGCCCAGGTCAAGGCACGTGCGGGAGGCAACCAATTGATGTGTCTCTCTCACATCAATGTTTCTCTCTCTGTCTCTCCCGCTCCCTTGCACTGTCTCTGAAAGTCAATGGAGAAAATATCCTCGGATGAGGATTAACCAGAACAAAAAAATGGCACCATAAAAAACGTACCCCCTCACCAGAATGCTGATTTCCCACGTCCTTGTCACGGTTGAGTCTCCTGGGCAAAAATGTGTTTTAAATCTAGTTCGCATGAGAAGAGCAAGCAACCTCAAAATACTAAAAGCATAGCTTTGTGG